ATATAAATTTTTATAAATGTCTTACTTTAAGTTCTGTATTATAAAATTAAATGATAGACTATGTAGATGATTAAGTATTAAAATCTTAAATCATTAAATATAAGATGTATTCCTTAGGCATGAAAAGTCATTTAATGAATAGCATGCTGTTTTCCCAAGAACAGAAAGAAATTCCCAGCTGAATCTCTACCTCAAACTCCTGTGCATCTGTTCTGGACGATTCACCATCATTACAGTTGACTTCTAATGAATCCTTAGACTCTTCCATGCTGGTATTGTATTCAATTCCATTTTGTCCTATTACTTAATAGCTGCAAGAGTTCAAATATCTGATAAACTAAAGGACTTAACATATTCATGATATGTTTTATCTTAAATCTCTTATCTCCTCTATTGTGGTACCTTATAAAATTTAGGCAAGACCATTTCCAAGGTAAGAAAATTAATGTTTTTGTTAAAAAGCTGGCCAAGGTCCTAGGATACATTCAAGGGAAAGCAAAGATGAGCATTATGTATTTCTCTCATACTCTCTCTTTTTTGTGTGTGGTGGTGCTGGGGATCGAACTTAGGACCCTGTGCTTGCCAGGCAGCCACAGCACCACTGAGTTACATCCCTAGCCCCTCTCTCATACTATCTTTAGTTACACTCTTATACTGGCTGACTAAACTTGCTTTTGTGTGACAAGGTAATGGTATACTTTTATAAATAATTCTAAATTACTCATCTCACAATGATTTAATGCAAATAAAGGCTTTCAATTTTATAAGCTGGGTGTGCCCTACTGTAACAATATAGATGATGACTTTTTGGGTTTTTTTGGTACTGGGGATCGAACTCGGGTCCTTGCACTTTCGAGACAGGCAGCATAACCACTGAGCTAAATCCCCGGTCCTACTGTAACAATATACAGCTTAAGAAAAGATGTGTCATTGTAGATGGGGATTATATATACAACAATTGCCTCTTATCCATAGAAGATAAATTCCAAATACGCTAGTGGATGGCTATAATCTCAGACAGTACCAAACCCTGTATGCACTATGGGTTTTGGTTTTTCTTATACATGCACAAAAAGTTCAGTTTATACACTAGTAAAGGAATAATAATAATAATAATAAGTATTAAAATAGAACACTTATAATAATATCCTATAATAAATTATTTTAAACTTGGGAATTGTTTATTTCTGAAATTTTCCATTATCCATTTAATATTTTCAGACTAGTGTCGACTGTAGTTAACTAAAACCATAGAAACAGAAACTGCAGACAAGGGAGAACTACTGTATACAATTCTTGCCATTAATATATAATCATACCAAAATATATATATAAAATCATATCATTTAATGTTAGCTTGACGGGCTTGGAAAATGAAAAAAATGTATGACAAAAATTTGAGTCACTTAGGCCTAGTACACTGGTTCTCAATAGGGTCAATTTTATAAGGCTATAAAAATCAGTCCTATTTTAATATGCTGCTATAAAATATCTTCACAGTGGGCTGTGGATTTAGCTCAGTGGGTTTGTCACCTGCTGCGCAAGTGCAAGGACCCAAGTTCAATCCCCAATACCAAAAAAAAGAAAAAGAAAATACCTTCACATTGCCTTTCCTTTAAGATTTTAAATAATTACTGTATTCTGATCTAATTTATTATAGAAACTCCCAAAATACCTTGTAGCCTATAATTAGTTATCTCTTGGGCCACACAAGAGCAATTTTATAACTTTCTGCTCTGTTTTGAATTTTGTACACTGTACTTACATCATTTAGGAATAAAATTTTTTGAAGCAGTTTAAAAAATGCCAAAGATTAAAAATGGCAGAGTAGAGATTGAGAACAAAATACAGCCTCTCCAGGACCTGGAGTGGAGACACCTGGAAAAGAACAGTTTAGTGAAGAGAAAAAAAAGAACTCTGGGAATCAGGAGGGAGCTCAGAGGAAAACTGGAAACTACAGAGAAGCTGGTAAAACAGAGCACAGCAAAGAAAAAGGAAGGAAGCATTTGGGAAAAGGGCCCTGGGTCCTGGCGAGGAGGAACTATATCCACTGATACAAAGGGAGCCTGGAAAGAGTCAGTAGTGCTCAGGAGAAACACTGGACTGGGCTGGCAGTGCTAGCCCCAAGAAGAGCCCACAGTTATAGTAAAGTGCAAAAATAGCATGGGGTTTTACTCCAAAAGTAACTCCTTCTGCATGGCAGGCTAGAGTTGGAGAAGAAATCCAGTGCAGTGCCTGGTATATTTGAGAGGATTTAATCAGGAGCCATTGTGGCAAGGGGTTAATTGTTCAAGACTGAGCTACAGATCAACTATAAAACAACTAGACTTCAGGATCTCTGGTGTCACCCTATCTCATTTACTGGGTAGGAGACAGTTGCAGAGAGGGTGTGGGCTAGACATAGACTCTCGCCCGGAAAAGTTTAAGCTCAGGCCAGGGAGAAGTTGGGGGTCCAGCCCTTTGGGTTAAGCCAGGCTGCTCATGTGTGGCTTTTGGAGGGGGCTGAGTCTGCAAGTGCTAGCATTAAGTCCAGTGACAGCTAGAACCCCAGCCCCCTTCCCCACTGCCTACATCCAGCACAAAGCTCAGTGGTCCGTTTGCTTTCCCCATCTGCCAGTATGATCAGGGATCCACTTTAGCTTGCACAGTTGCCACAACCTAGAGGTATGGACAGAGGATCATCTGGAGCAGGGAGGATGCCTCACAAACCCACAGGCCATGGAGCTAGGCGAAGAAAGCCATGACTAGGGATATACAGAGTGACTACAATCCTAGGGTGGACACCATTGAATGACCATGCTCAACATTATCTCATGGTGTTTTCCTTGTATGAGAGACCCAAACTATAAATAAATTAAAGAGCACAACAAAAAATAGGAAACAGGGAGATCTTTAGCAAATGGGAAAGGAACTAAGATACAGATGGAGAGAGGGAGTGAGGGAGGGGAAGGGGATGTAAAAAGAATTAAGACGTGTTATGTACATTAAGCAACTTCCCACTATGAATTTAATCATTATGTACTGCAAACATGTACTAATAAAAATTAAAAAAATAAAAAAAGACTTCCACTAATGGTAATATGGGAGATTAGACATTGGAGAAGATTCTTTTACTACAAAACAAAAACATAAAGTTGGTCTAAAATAAAATATTTTGTGGCTGGGGTCTGCTATTGGAAGTTACAAAAATCAAAGACCCCTGTCCACTTCCATGTAGTCCCCAAAAAGAAAATCAAAACCTGTGAACATCAACAAGAATAAAATACTTAGGAATGAATTTAACCAAGGAAGGAAAATATTTGTACACAAAGTACAAAATGCTTTTTAGAAGACCTAAATAAATGACAAGGCACACTGTGCTCATAGATTAGATAATAATACTGTTATGCTGGCAATAATATACAAAGCAAACTATATTCAGTGCAATCATTATTATAATACCTACTGTAGCCTTCTAACAAGTAATGGAAAAGCTAATCCTATAATTCATACAGAATTCCAAATGCCTCTGAATAACCAAAGTGATTCTTAAAAAGAACAAAGCTGGAAGACTCATAATTACAGATTTTAAAAATTACTATAAAGCTACAGTAATTAAGGCTAGAGGACTGGTGATGTAGGTCACCAGCACAGTGTTTGCCTTAGCATGAACAATGCTCTGGATTTGATCACCAAACACAAAATAAAACAAAAAAACAGAGTGTGGTAATGACATCAGGATAGACTAATGGAAATAAAGTTCAGAAATAAATGCATATATCTATTATTAAATTATATTTGCCACAGTAACAAAAGCATTTGCTAGGAAAAGAACACTCTTAATAATTCGTGCTGGGACAACTAAAGAGTCACATGTGAAAAATGAAGTTGGGGCTGCAGACAGGCAGGACTGCCCATGCCCTACCGAGGTCCTGAGTTGCACAGAACACACCGAATCAGCCCGCTGCAGACAGGCTGGTCTGTGCACGCCCTACCGAGGTCCTGAGTCGAGTGGAAGACACCAAATCAACCCGCTGCAGACAGGCAAGTCTGCCCATGCCCTACCAAGGTCCTGAGTTGCACAGAACACGCCGAATCACCCCGCTGCAGACAAGCAGCCACCTGGTTCCACACTACAAAGACGCAGAGGACACCAGACCACCAGACCAAGGTACTGAGTCCCGCTGTTCTGGGCCCAGAGGAAGGGGCTTCCAGGCCACCATCCCTCCTGCTGCTCCCAGCCCACAGGAAAGGGCTTTTGGGTCACCATCCCTACCACTGCTCCTGGCCCCT